AGATAGATAGATAGATAGATAGATAGATAGATAGATAGATAGATAGATAGATAGATAGATAGATAGATAGATAGATAGATAGATAGATAGATAGATAGATAGATAGATAGATAGATAGATAGAGCCATTCCCACAGTAGCTAATTGGGATAGTTGATGGGAGTTGTAGTGCAGCAATATCTGGATAACTGCATGTTCCTTCATCACTGATAAGGAAAGATGCTGTTGAAGTCATGGGCAGATGTCTAGGTAACAAGGCTACTTAAGCCAGCCGTGCTGACACTTTGTTCCTTTTGAATGCTTGAAGCATGCTTTTCTGAGTTTGTGAGTAGGGGTTTTTTTTGTTTGTTTTGTTTTGTTTTTGGAAACTTAGCTTCTGGAGGAGACACAGAGCCTGGCCAAAGAGGAGATTTAGCTGACTGGTTTGGCAGTGATGTTTGAATGACAGCAATGCATTATGAACGATATGCTGATTAAGCAATGATCAAGATAAATGCAAATGGAAAGCTGTGGAGATTTCTTTTTTCAGGTTCCTGCTAATCTCCCACTCATTTCTTTCTTTGTTTTTCCCTTTCCCTTTTTTCCTTTTTCCTTTTGCCTCTAGATGCATTGTGCAACAATTATACTGGGCACAATGTTTAAATATATATTTCCATTTGTCACACACTTTTTTTAAAAAAATGCTTCAAATAGTATTGCCTTTTGCACCAAAAGAGTTAGGGGCTCACTTACTCTTCCATGTGAACTAGCCCAGACTCTGAGATTTGGGGGAAGGCCCTTCTCTTCTTCTCAATATCTTCAGAGATGCATCTGGTAAGTGTGCAAAAGAGGGCTTTCTCAGTCACCATTCCTAGGCTCCGGACCACCCTCAAGGAAGACTCGATTGTCCGCTACTCTGTTGTCCTTATGCTAGTGGGCAAATATTGCTGTTACTACCTCCGTTACAGTTATTCAGATAGACCTTTTGCAACTCACCAGTTGCCGAAGGAAGGACTTGTTACTGGCTGGCTCCTCATTTTTTTCTTTAGTGATATATTTTTAAAATTGTGTCCTGAATGGTTAAATTTTGCCTTGATTTCAATTCTGTTTTCATGTATGATTTTATTTTTATGCAGTATTACCATGAGCTGTTACGAGTATCAGTTTTGAAGAAAGGCAGTATATAAATCCTATAAATAAATAATACAAATCCATCCTTTCTATAAGACATACCAGCTTCAAAGGAGGGAAGGATTATATTAATTCTCCATGTCTGTCTGATCTCTTTAGTTCTCAGTCCTTAGTCCCAATTGGTGCACTCTGTATCAGAGTAGAAGTGTACAGATTTCTGTTTCTGGATGACAAATCGTAAAAATTCCCTAGGGAGTATTCCTACTGGGAGAATTCTGGGAGTTGTAGTTCAGAAACACAAATCTGCACAGCTTGAATTCAGGCCATGCCCTGCAAAAAACAGCAGTCATCATACATCACTTCTGGTTTGATCCCTGATTTGCACAGAAGCTGCTTCTGTATTTTTATGATATTTACCTCCTCACTTTTGCATCCACAGAATGCTCAGCCTCACTCAGGTTTGCTGCAAGCCTCCATCATTACGCTCTACACCATGTATGTCACTTGGTCATCCTTAGCAAACGTACCAGGTAAGGAGAATCAACTTGTTCTTTATATAGCGTATCTCTACTTTTTGAAGCAAAGCCCTTTCAAGAATATTTGTGGAGCATTCTTCCAGTATTAAGCATTCTCCCAAGATATTTCATTGCCTGATGGAAAGGCAGCATGGTACCCCCCCGCCCTGTCCCAAAGAGATAACTTGACTGTCTTGAGACACAGTTGGCAAACGTACCAGGTAAGGAGAATCGACTTGTTCTTTATATAGCATATCTCTACTTTTTGAGATAACTTGACTGTCTTGAGACACAGTTTGTGACACAACTTATTCCACCACAGACGAGGGCAAACAGGCTAATTTTAGGGAAAGGAAGCAGGCCAAGTGACTAGAGATGGGATATTCGTATTCATATCCCTTGGGATACGAATACGGATATTGGCAGCACAGGTGCCTGCGGAAGCCAGACCCTGCCCCTTAGAACTGGCTGGCTCACTTACCGCTCAGCAGCTGAGTGGGGAAACTCATCATCCTGCCTCCTGTATGTTTCCCTTGGGATATGAATACGGCTATTGGCACCACAGGTGCCTATGGAAACCAGACCCTGTCCCTTAGAACTGGCTGGCTCACTTACCGCTCAGCAGCTGAGTGGGGAAACTCATCATCCTGCCTCCTCGCCAGAGTGGTTGGCTATGCAGGAATGTGGTGAAGTGCTGGCCAGGTTACTTCAGCAATTGGCATGATGTGAATGGTGACTGCTGTGTGTACCATGTGGTGAGCAGTAAGTGGACCTGCTGATTCTTGGGGAGGGTCTGGTTCTCCCAGGCACCTGTACCCCAGGGATACGAATACAAATATCCCATTTCTACATGTGACAGACAGCGCCTCAGCTCTGCCCTCTACGACCCTGTTGGTGCCCCATGAATCTTCTACCTGAGGAGGCACTCACTCCAGTCCTGGCAATAAGCGTTGCCCTATTATCATATGGAATGCATACATACAGAGCAATGCAGAAGACTCGGTGATTACTGAAAAAGATAGAAACAACCAATCTCATGCTTCTGAGTCTTAAAAAGTCTTAAAAGTCATGAAACACACACACACAGACACACACACATGGTGAGCTGGTTTCTCATTTGACCTCAGAAGGTTGGAAGGCTAAGTGAACCTTAAACCAGCTACCTGGGATTGAACCCTGGCAGTTGTTTGACTGCAGTACAGCAGTTTTAACCACTGCAAGAATCATTTTTGTAATTGCGAGTTATCTTTTTGAGACTAAGATACCATTTTCTCAAAAATGAGGGGAAAAGGATTTCTCATTGAGCTGGCTTTTCATTTGACCTCAGAAGGTTGGAAGGCTAAGTGAACCTTAAACCAGCTACCTGGGATTGAACCCTGGCAGTTGTTTGACTGCAGTACAGCAGTTTTAACCACTGCAAGAATCATTTTTGTAATTGCGAGTTATCTTTTTGAGACTAAGATACCATTTTCTCAAAAATGAGGGGAAAAGGATTTCTCATTCTTGCATGCAGGTGCAAGATAGGTGAGCATTTACATCTGTAGGAGAGACTGTCCATCGAACTGAAGAACTTTTGCCCCAAAAGGGGAGGTGCTACTTTTTAAGGGAAAGAGAATATCTGGCTGCATTGCCCATCCCTTCTGTTCAGATTGGGTTTCCATCCACACACCCACCCATGTGAACTGAGCAGCGTCCAGGCCCATAAGGATTTGTGTCAAGTTCTAGATTGTGGTGCAGTTGTTGGTTATTTAAAACCTTGAATCTTCTGTCTTGTTTTCTGCAGACAAATACTGCAACCCAACGCTTCTGATACGAACAGAGAGCAATAGCACATCTGTCACAGCTGCGGGTGGACAGCCGACCCAGTGGTGGGATGCCCCAAGTATTGTGGGATTAGTGATATTCATCCTGTGTACCTTTTTCATAAGGTAAGAATCCGCAGTCATTTGCAAATGAACAACTAACTGATGGAGGTCAAACTTCAAAATGGTAAATTCCTCCCAAAATAATTAATGCCCCAGGCAGCATATTTTGGGTTAAGGAGGATGGCCTCCACTGTGATAATAATGTCTTTCTTGGTATCACTGCAAACATTTAAATTGCAAACATGGCAGTAGTCGTTTGTTAGTAATTGTTTTGGGTGATGATAAAATAGTAAATTTGCATTTCAAAAGCAGTGTTACTACTTGGATCAAAGTTTTTTGGTGGAAAATATAATGCTTTCTAGTTACTTTCAGAACTTGCCTTTAACTGCTGTTTTAAGGCACATAATAGTCCCAGGCTCTAAGCCAGGAACACATGTAAAAAAGGGATAGGTGAGACATGTGGCCTTCTGGAGATGCTCGACTCCAGTTCCTATCGGCCCCAATCAGCTTGGCCATACTGAACTCTGAATACATCGAAATTATCTCTCTTCTGGTTTCCAGTCTCCCTCTGGTGGCAATGAGAAGTAAAAAAAAACAATTGTAGCAAACAAAGATTACTATAAAGAAGCTGGAAGAGTCCAGTGGCCTCTTTGTTGACATCCCTTAAAAGCGGAATGCTGAAATCCTCTGCAGGCATTTCTTATTTATTGGCTTACTGTTGCAACAGTCATAACCTGTGGTGGTTGCACTTCTTTGGGAATCGTAGACAGCTGGTGTTCTTGCTTGCTTTGCTTTCAGCATCCGCTCTTCTGACCATACCCAAGTGAACAAGATGATGCTGACGGAGGAGAGCCCAGCTATGCTGGGAGGGAGCAGCCCCAGCTCTGACAGTGAGGGTCACAGAGCTTATGACAACGAAGAAGATGGAGTGTCTTACAACTACACCTTCTTCCACTTCTGCCTCCTTTTGGCTTCCCTCTACATCATGATGACGCTGACCAACTGGTACAGGTGCGTCGGAGCTGGTGCTGCCAGACATTTCATGCTGCGGTAATGCACACTCTGGATAGGCGGCGTGACAGCCAGAGTGTTAGAATGGGGTTTTGGTGATCCAGGTTTTTATCCCCATTGACTGATGGAAGTCCCTAGCTAAAATCCTTTTGCTTAGCACAGTACATTGCACTAGAGCAGTGGTTCTTAACCTTTTTGAAAGAAACGCCCCCTTGAGCCATTGAGGAAGTTATCATCGCCCCCCTCCCTGAGGT